TCTCTCTCTCTCTCTCTCTCTCTCTCTCTCTCTCTCTCTCTCTCTCTCTCTCTCCCTCTCTCCCTCTCCCTCAGGGCTGGGGATTTAGCTCAGTGGTTTTGGCTGCCTGCTGCGCAAGCGCAAGGACCAGAGTTCAATCCCCGGTACCAAAAAAAAAAATTTAAAAGAAAGAAATTCTCTCTCTCTCCCTCTCTCTCCTCTCTCTCCTCTCTCTCCTCTTTCACTCTAGTACTAGAGATCAAACCTAGATGAGCTCTACTACTGAGATGCATCCCCAGTACCACCAACCCCACCTTAGTTTCTTTTTTTGGTACCAGGAATCGAACTCGGGGCCTTGTGTTTGCCATGCAGGCACTGCACCACTGAACTGCATCCCCAGCCCTTGTTGTTGGAAATGGGGTTTTGCTGTGTAGTTCAGGCTGGCCTTGAATCTAGTAGAACTCACAGCTATCCTCCTGCCTCAGATTATTTGCTTTTTTAATTGCACGGACTCATCTATGTTCAGTGGGATTCTGTAGACAATTTTTTGGATAATTGCTCCTGTTTTGGTCAGAAATCTGGTTCTTGAACTCTTTCTCCTATTCCCAGATCTGGAATCTTTTTGGAAACCAACTCTGCCCCATCTTCTGGTGCCAGAACAGAAATGTAGAGCCATTTCTGGACAGCCACACAGCAAAGCAGCGAGAAGCTGGGAAGCCCCCTGTCCGGATCCTCTTCTCTTCTCTGGGTGTGATCACAGAGAAAAGGGTGGGATTGGGGAGAGCTGGGAGAAGACCCCGCCCAGCCAGCCCAGATCCAAATGTGCACGTGATGGAACTGTCTGCACAGCCAAGGACCCCTCCCTCCCGAGGAGAAAATCCCACAACTGGGGAACATCTGGATCAAACCACAGCCATGAAAGCACAACATCAAACGAGGGTTTCTGAGCAACCCTCCCAACAGGCCCTGGTCCAAGAGAAAATGCAGATCTTCCTGCTTGAAGCTTTTAAGTGTCACAGAACCCCTGAGTTTGGGATCTCTCCTTATTCACAGGAGACAGATGTCCCGAGTGAGGATGGTTGGGTTTGATTACCCCCAGTGGGAGAGGATATTGTGTGACCCGGTCCTGGCTGTGCTGGGGTGGGGGTAGCCTGGGACTTAAAGCTGTGATCAGGGGCTCTGGCAGTTCGGGTGGCGGGGAGGGAGGGTGTGGGTGTGGGGTATGCTGGGGAGCAAGGGGACAGGTGAGCCTTTTAAAACGTGCCTACATCAAAGGGTTCAGTACGCTCCCTTCCCAGCTCTGGCGCCTCTGGGGGGAAGGAAAGCGGTGATTTCACCACATAACTGCACGTAGGGCGGATCTCGGCCTGAGAACTTCTGGGGAATGTGCAGAGGGGAGGGTGCTCCCCAGAGGGGAGGAAAGGGCAAGGGGGTTTCTCATTTCCAAAATAGCCTACCCAGGCCAAGGAAAATTGGGCCATATGCTGCTTCCCTCCTACTCTACACCCAGTGGAGGCAGAGCTGGAGGGGAGGGTGCATTTTTCCAAGGTGGGGGAGGATGGAGCAGCTGCTGCAGGGGGATGTTGGGAGCTGGATCAGGGGTGGAGAACTGGGGGGAAGCAGGACCATCTTCTCAAAAGGCAGAAAAGGGGAAAGCTGCAGAGTATGTGAGTTCTGGGAGCCTGAAGGCTAGCCCCTGCACGCTCCCCAGGCTTTGGCCAGTCTCAGTCAACACCATGCTTGGGACACCTGGACATCATGCTGGTGGGGGATGGATGGTGGGAGAGGTGGGCCAGGGAGGTACCTCAGATCCTGCTGGAATTGCAGTTCAGATTTGGATCGAGTGGGCTGGATGTCGGCACCTCACTGTGACCTTGGTGTAAGAAGCCAGTGGTTTATTTTTGGGATGGAAGATGACCTTGGTCAGGGCAGAAGAGAAGAAGGGCATATCATTTTTTTTCTTTGGTACCGGGTATTGAACTCAGGACCTTGCACTTTCAAGGCAGGCAGTGGAAAGGGCATATCTTTTTGCTTAACAGTTTACATATCTTATTCTCCTTTAGGAAGCTGTCCCTGACTCAGAGAGCTTTAGGTGTGCACCTGGTGCTCCCCTGTGTGACCAGTATTGTTCTTTTCACATTGCCTTATAAGGATCTATTTTATAATGGTTTCTTTCCCCATCTAAACTGTCACAGCTTTGAAGGTATTGGCCTTCCTTGTGCCCCTGTGCCAGCACAATGCCTGGCAGAGTGTAGGCGCTCAGCGGTACTACTCGCTGCAGCTGGAGCCCATTCTCCCAGATTGATGTTCTGGAGAAAGAGGATGGCCCATCTCATCTCGTCTTGGAGTTTTGGGTGAGGACCCTGGTTGATAGCATTCTCTCCTGCCTCTGAAACTTATTTTTCATAAGGCTCACTTTTATGGTTGGGTCTGGTATTATTTTAAGATTTGTTTGTTTGTTTCGGTACCAGGGATTGAACTCAGGACCTTGCACTTTCGAGATAGGCACAGTGCCACTGAGCTAAATTCCCGGCCCTATTATTTTAAGATTTGGAGTGGATATGTCTTTTCTTGGTCCCATGAGACCATACTTGTTGGGGTCAGACTGCCCGGCAGGAGGGAAGAACTCAGTCAAAGTCAGTTGGTTGTGGACTAGCTGACCCTCTCCTTTAAGTGCTGGCGGCTCCATCATTGATGTGTCAGCTTGTGTGGCTTCATGTGGAGCTTGTGTGACTGAGATTCTGTGCCCTGATGATCAGAGATATCCTGGCCTGCCCTCCCTCCCTCCCTCTTTTCTTTCTTTCTTTCTCTCTTTCTTTCTTTCTCTTTCTCTCCCCCGACCCCACTCTCGTGGTACTGAGGATTGAACTCAGGGCCTTTGCACTGAGCTACATCCCCAGGCTTTAAAAAATTATTTTTTTGAGATACTGTCTTGTTAAGTTGTTAAGTTGCCCATGCTGGGCCGAAACTTGTGATCCTCTTCCCTCAGCCTCCCAGAATGCTGAGATGTCAGGCATGTGCCTCCACATTCGGCAGAGATGTGTTGACTTAATGGGTAGAAAAGGAGCTGTCTCGGAAAGCTAAAGACATAGGGTCCTGGATGGCTCTGCAAGCTGAGAGAATGAGTGTTTGAGGGGGCATTTTGGAGAAGACATAGGCCAGTGAGTTTTATTCAGTCTTTGGGAAACACAAGGATGAAAGAGGTGGGGCAGTGGCAGAAGAACATCCAGTGGATAGACCGGGAAGACTGCAAGGAAGCGATACAACTTTGCCTTGAGTGAGAACCCAAGTGTGAGGCTGGCAGGCCACATACCTAAGAGGGTCCTGGGAAACTGTAAGCACTCAGGATTGTGCCCACTGTCCATTACCCGCCCACCCCCCCATACACACTCTAGGCCAGATGGGCTCTGAAGTTTCTCTGATTTCTAGACCCAGCCCAGCCTCAGCCCCAGCAACATCACCCAACACCATGCTTGGGTCAAACCAGCTTTGTTCCATACCCTGGGGGTCTGCCCTGGGGCTGGAGCTGCCTTTGAAGTGGATGGAGAAAAGATTGGTGGGCTGTGTGCTGAGCCTAGATCTCCTCACTGTCAAGGAGAAGGGGAGGATCTCCACTTTGAACCCTTTTCTAGGGGCTAAGGTGTTGACACCTTAGTTGTCAAAACTTGACTTTTCATTTTTGGAAGTTGCCTGAGGCTGACTGATTGACACCAATCACTGCACTCCTGGGCCACAACTCTAGGTGGTGTCCTCCTCATAGAATTCCATTTGCAAGATGCCTCCTCTTCCTCTGAGATGTAAGACAGCCTGCTGCCCTCACACCCTTTGGAGATCAGGGTTCTGTTTATAAGCCTGAACTGGTCAACCTGAGAACCAGCAATACCGAGCAAGGTGAAGAGATGGACAAAATGATCTCCTAAGTTAAGTCCGCATGAGAACTGAGCACCAGGAAATGGGAGCCGTCCCCTGGAACAACCGGTCCACAGAGCAGTGTGCAGTCGGACTATCGTAAAACAAGCGAAAAGTTCATCTAGGGAGAAAAGAGCACTGTCTTAAAGTCCCTAGATGGAAAAGGATAACAATGCGGAAGTTAGCACGCAGTGATAGCACTCGCTAATGCGAGGTGAATCAGAATCAGTCTACTTTGCAGTCTTCGCATTTGGGATTCTCCGAAGCAGAATGGCCTCGCTCTGTCAGTTACATTTATGCATGGAAATTAGCTGAAATCAGAAATGGGATCCTGACCCATTTCTGAGAGTCAGGAATTTCTTTCCTTCTCTTTTTCTTCTTCTTAGGAAAGCTCAGTTCATTGTTTAGGATGAAAAATAACAACCAGATGAACGAAAGGAGAATCATCAGGAATGATAAATAATATGCTCCAGATGTGGCCAGAGGAAGCTGAGTCTAAGGAGCATCACTGCCTCTGAGTAGTCACCTTGCAGGGAGCTCCCCTCATCGCAGCAAGGCTGCACTGACAGTTTTTGCAGCTCCTCTTTTGCAATTGTCTTCAGAGTATATGACTCTGTGTTTTTAAAAATCTTTATTGGCGCCTGCTCTGCAAACACAAGGACCGGAGTTCAATCCCCAGTACCCAAAAAAAAAAAAAAAAAAATCTTTATTGGTATTTTTTGGTTTTTTTTTTTTTTTTTGGTACCGGGGATCAAACTTGAGTCCTTGCGCTTGAGTAGCATGCAGCCACTGAGCTAAATCCCCGGCCCGGTATTCTTTGATTTTTTAAAAAAATCAAACCTTAAAAACTCCTAGTTAATTGTTTGTCTTGAACATTTTGTAAATTGCCTCTAAAGTAAAAAACAAAACAAAACAAAAATTTTGTGTGTGTAGTACTGGAAATTGAACCCAGAGTCTCACTCACACCTAGCAAGCACTCTACCACAGAGCCATCCCCAGCACATTTTTCTCTTCTTCTCCTTCTCCTGCTTCTTCCTTTCTTCTCCTCCCCCTTCTCCTTATTCTTCTTAAATTTTGAGACAGGGTCTCCCTAAATTGGCCTTGAACTTGTGATCCTCCTGCCTCAGCCACTTGAGTAGCTGGGATTACAGGTGTGCACCACCATACCTGGCTGGCTGTAAAGTCAAGTTTTAAAGGAGACCTTGCAGAAATATTTTAATCACTAGAGGTACATATAGAATAAGTACATATATGTCCTCCTAGGGGGGTTGTTTTGAAGGACAACCCTTGTTTGTTTTGCTGTTTATTTAAAGAGGCTAATCACAGACAAAGGTCATACGTTCTATATAATAAATGAATGTAACGCGGGAGCCACTGCCTCCTCCTGCTGCAGTGAATGGAATGCTTTGGCAAGGCATCGCAAATTTGCCTTGGCACAGGCAGGGAGGGACTGGAGGCCTGGAGGCTGTGTCCACGAAGCAGGCCCAAGTGAAGAGGTGATACAGTAATCCAAGGAGAAGGCTGGGGCCTCCACTTGAACTTGATATTCCTCATGATACTCCCACCTGGACTCATTCTGTGTTTATTCTTCTAGAGGATTTGGTCAGTTGGGGAGAGTGTGAACAGACTTTTTTAAAGGCAGGAGATTAATTTCTTTGCTTGATTCTGTCATTCACCTGCAAAAATTGACACTAAGGTCTAATAGGGGGAATTTGTGAATTTTATTTAAATGTACTTTTCACAGAAGTGGAGGGGCTGAGGTCACAATGAACCTACACAGTAACTTATAACAATTATTAGTTAACCTAAATAAATAACTCCAGTGAGGAAGTTTCTGGAACTTCTCTTTTCTGAAGAAAGCCCAAGAAGAAATGGCTAAGCCTCAGATCTGGGAGACTGAGTCATAGGAGCCTTTGCTTGCTATGGGTGTGGCTTCTTTGTCCCTCTTGGACACCCTGCCTCTGGGCTTGAGCCAGGTGTGTGTGTGGAGTGGCAGGTGTGATGGCTGGGGCTAGGATCGAGGGAGCAGTGGAATGACCTCCAGGAGGCCCAGCCATGCAGAACTCACAGTGCTCCTTTGCTGATAGCCCAAGCTGCAAATCAGGAATTTATTAGGAGCTGAGACTCATTTTCCCACCCTTTATAGCCCTGACGACTCAGAGCCAAACTCTGGCAAGGGGCTTCCTCATGGTTTTAATTAGACAATTAATTTTTTATTGGGTCGTTTGATTTCTGGAGCCAATTCCACTCTCCCTGTTGTCTCCCACCTGCCTCCCAGCTGTGAACAGCGAAGGGGAGATGGGAGATTCAGGGAGGGAGTACAGGAAAAACACCCCTCTGCCTTTGAGCTGATTTAGGAGTCAGTGAGTGGGGAGGGGGTGGGAATCCCTCTGCACCTTCTGCTCCTTCGTCTGGCACCAGAAACACTATCCAGAGCTCTGAGTGGTGCTCAGAGCCGGCCTGCAGGGCTGCACAAAGGCATTCTCAACCGCTCCTCCCAAGCTCCTCCCAAGCTGGTGGGCTAATTAGTAACACGGGTGGAGTGGGGGCAGGGGCAAGGAACATGCCTCCAAATACATCAGTGGCATTTCTGCGGTTAATCCTGGCCGTGCTTGGAAGCTGTTTACCCTCCACCCGAGGATTAGGAACCTGTTTGAGTTAGAAGGGCAGATCGAGGCCAGGGCAGAGTTCTGTCTCCCACCTGCTGTCAGGAGCCAGGGCAAGGGCGCTGAGCCAGCAGGGGCAGGAAAAAAGACGTGAGAGAAACCTGTCTCTGATCTGTCTCCCCTTATTGATCTCCTGCCTTCTAGCCGCTTGAGCTGCTTTTGAATCTTGATCCTCTCCACCCAGACTTCACCCCTCACCACTGGCTTTGTTAAACATTAATGTGGCTTGGGAAGGTGGAGGAAGGGGAGAGGGCAGGGGCGCAGTGCTTTTGCAGTGGGGATGGGCCCAGGTGTGGAAGGGCCCTGTTTGTCATATTTGTGCTCCTGGAATGGGGAGACCCCTCCAAAGCTTCCTGACCATCCCCCTACTCCACCTTGAAAGAAAGAGAAGGCTAGGTTCTCGGAAGAGTTTCCTTTCAGCAGAAACAGGTAGCACCTTCTTTAGAACTTTGTGAAAATGCAAGTCTAATATTTTGTTGAGGAGCAACATTGCTCAGAGGCCTTAAAGTGGAATATAGTGAGAGGGTTGTTTCCTCAGGTGTCCTGTTGGTGGGGACATTGTCACTTGTTGTTCCAGCACAGGGGCTCTTACTGGAAGTGTGTGTTCATGTGTGAGCAAACCTATACACGTACGTGTGCAGGCATGCATGCCACCAAGCATGACTCCTCAATATGTCCAAACTTCCACTTATTTGCAGAAGGGTGTGCCACCCTCCCCCCCAAAGTATCCTCAGAACCAAACTGAGGAGCATCTGCAGACAGAGAAGTGGGCTGAGCAGGTTCCAAGGCCCACAGAGGTAAAGCAGGCCCTTCCAAAGAGGGGCTCTGGTGACCTTGTCCCCTAGGGTCTCCTGGTATGTCAAAGCAACATCAGCGTTGGTGATTGCATAGCACCCCCTGCCCTGTGCCCCTCTGTGGATCTGGGAGAAGATTGGCTTACCTTGGGGTTCAGGACTCCAAGAAATACTAGCATATATTTCTACTGGATTGTGAGGGATGCAAAGATAAAAGGATCCAAAGATCAAAGCACCCTGCAGAAGCCCAGCATGCAGACCTCTGGATCTAGGATTTGTTCTGTAAACAGCTTTTTCTAGGGAAAAGCATGTATGGAGCAATCTCTCTGCTAGGACCTGAGGTGGTGCCATGCTGGGAGTGGGAGGACAGCCCAGGGACAGGGCTTTTTGGGATAGTGGGGGGGGGCACTCATTGCTGACAGCCGGACTGCTACCTCCTAAATCATGAGAAACCCAAAGAAAGGGTCAGAAAGATTGAGGAGAGAGTCCCTTATCATCCACTGGTGACTGTGCTTCCATGTCACCCATGGCAGAGAAGTGAACTCACACCTTCAGGACTAGAAGTCCTGGGTAGTGCTGTGTGTATGCATGGGGATCCTGAGACACTCCAGGCACATCGAGAACAAAGGGCAAGGACAGATGGCAAAGCTATTGGAGAGGCCATGGGTGGGGACCAGTGTCCATCTGTAGGGGCACAGGAAGGAAGAGAAACTGTGAAAGCAATAGGAGTTAGGGAAGAAATGAAAATGAAGCACAGAAACAGAGAGCAAGGGCCGATGGAGATGCACACAAAGAGAGCCTGAGAAACACCAGGGAGCAGAGAAGGGCGGTGGGCAGCAGGAGGTAGACAAGGGAGAGCCTCAGGAGGGCCACAGCCAGCACCATTGGCCAGCCTGTGCCTAGAGTGGCAGGCAGGAAAGCAGAGAGGGAAGGAGTTGCTGTCTGGAGGTAGGGGTGGCAATGGAACCCGCCTCTCCCAGCTCACAAGCTAATGGCATTTCCCTTGCCCTTCTCCCTGAGCCCAGGGGTGAGACTGACGGGACTGCAGCTTCTCTGGGTCCTGGGTGGATTTGAATAATTAAGTCATCTGGATTCTTATGATTTACCATTTTCAATGATAAATAGACAGCGCCCAAGCCAGCCAGTTGGCAAAACTCTGGCTGCTAGTTATAATTTGTCAAGCTGCCAGCAAATTCATGTTTTATGCTAATGGAGAAAGACTCATTGACTAGGGGGAGGCAGTGACCCGGTCAGCTTTTTCCTCAGGCCCACTAGAGGTCGAGAGGTCGGCGAGGGTTGCCGAGGCTGGTATGGATTTTCTGCAAGGGTCAGTGTAATTTTATAATAATTCAGGGAGTACACACACTCTCACATACACAGAAGGTCGAGTATGCAGAGATACGTCTAGATCTTTGTGCACCCACACCCCCCTCCACACTCACACCTGCATCCGTACCTATGCAGGCTACTGGGCCCAGTGTGTGTGAGCCTGGTGATGCAGGCACACTTGTCCACCCTCCTTCAGCTCACTTGTATATGCACAGCCTTGCTGTCACCTCCAGGCATGCGATTACCAAGGCAAACTCACAGACTTCCTAGTGACCTGGAGAAACACACACACACACACACCCTGACCAAGCAATGCCCACAACAAAGATGGGAAGTATTTTTGGAGGGCCCTTTTGCTGACCATCCCAAACCTTTATTTCAAGGCTTGTGTGAACCAACCCCAGGGCATCTCTTGCTTCTAGTTTAGTAGTTTTCCAGTGGGAGGAACCAGTGGCTCAAAGTCATCCTGCTTCTCATCTGTCCGGGGCTGTGCAGCTGGAGCTGGGAAGATAGGGGCTCTCAGACCCTGTATGTTGAAGGCTGCAATGAAAATCAGGTGAATCCAAGCCAAATGCTTTCCCATCAGTTTATTTGTATATTTGTCCACAACACATTGAGGCCTCACAGTGGCAAGAATCTTCTGATAGTCATGGCAAACTCAGGTACAGACAAAGCTTTGCACATGGCATATACTAGATAAACATTAGCAAAATGAGCAGCTGAAGCTACTGACTGCTACATAGAACAAACTGCTCATTTTCCCTTCTATTGCTCCACCTCCACAAAGCTTTAGTTTGTAGAACAGGTGTGAGTCTGGGCAAAGATCTCCTGTTCCTTGGGGTGAGAGATCCAGGCCTTTGGTGTGATAAGAAATGCTAATTCTATACCAATTAAAGCAATCTGGTCTCACTTTTGACCCCTAAGTGCCCTCAGAATGGATCAATGAGCAAGGAAGGATTGAGGAGGGAGCATCTGCCCTTCTCCTGCCCAGAAAAAAATTTTAAATTTGCTTTGATGACAGACAGTGCTGGAAGCTGCAGTTCATTATTATCGGCAATGAGCTTTGAGGTTGGCGGGGCACAGGGAAGGATTAGGGGCCTGGGGAGAAACATCTGATTTCCTTGTCCCCAGCAACCCCCAAAAAGGGGAGAAAAACACAATGGCAAACTGAATGGAGCTGAGGCCAACACAGCAAGGAGAGCCCAAAGGCCGAAGCTGTTTTCTGCAGCAGGCTCCAGGATGCAGCAGCGTTATCAGCTCTGCCTGCTGAGATTCCGGATCCTGTGAAGTGAGTTGGGTTCTCTCCCCTGCAGGGCCAGGTTGGAGCAAAGCAATTTTTCCAGCAGACAGCCTGCATCCCCTCTATCATAGCCTGGAAGGAGCTGCCTGCCTGTGTTGCCCAGCAGATGTGGATGGCAGTGGGCCTGGATAATCAGGGGTGACTCATGGACAGATGCTCAGGGGCCAAAATCAATCAGTCTCTCCATTTTAGGGGAACAAGACCCCTACATGGACTGGGAATAGGAAAATATGCTTTGCTTAAGAATTTGAGTATCCAGGGCAGGGTATTTGGCTCAGTGGTTCCGCTGCCTGCTTCACAAGTGCAAGGTCCCGAGTTCGATCCCCAGTACCAAAAAAGAATTTGAGTATCCAACCTAGCATCACTGACCTCACTCAATCTAAAAGCAACAGCCTCGGGTCACTGGCAGCTCTGGTCCCAGGATCAGGGACAGGCCAACTGGATGGGCTGGTAAGAACTGTCTGCAGCGAGTCAGGGTAATGTGAAGGTCATAATCATGATCAATAAAAAGACAAGGTGGTTCATTCTGTGCCTGGGTAGCAAAGCTTACTCTCCCATTTAACCCCTAATTTTTGAATCCTAATATTTGCATATGCACAGTGAACTCTTGAGGGCAGGGTGCTAGCCTGAAGGTCTTGAGGCAAAACCTTTTGGGATATAAAAATAGCACAAAAATTCCAGCATGGAGTAAATGAAAATGGAAAAAGAGAGCACGTGAGAGAAAGAAAACAGAAAGGAAGAAACCAGAGAAAAGAGAGGAAGAAAAGCATAAAAAGCAATGTTAGTAAGTGCCAGACAGAGGCCTCCCAGAGAGGGCACTGCAAGTTTTACTAAAAACATGGCCACGTATGCCTCTGCAGTTGTCAGTTTAGGAGTCCCCCCCCCCCATTTTCAAGGGTTATACTGTTTTGCAATACCTGGCTGACCTCAGAGACCTGTCCCATCTCACTCTGGGGAGATACGGGATTATTTAATTGTATTTAAGAAGCCTGAATCACATTGGGCAGTTGCCACTGGGGTACAAGAACAGGGCACGGGAGTGAGGGCTGGCAGGCAACAGTTACTCTCAGACCGGAGTCAATCCTATCTACAGGCTGCATCTAAAATCATTTTGCCAGTTCATCTCTTTGTGTGAATAAAATACACTGCAAACCAAAAGTCTGCTTGCTTTAGGAGGAATAGTCCTCATTCTTTTCAACACCCCCCGCCCCCCGCCCCAGCTCTTCCTAGATTTGCAAACTCAGGCCCAGCTCTTTCCAGATGAATCCAACCTCTTCTGATATGGAGAAACTCCTTGACCTGGAAGGTATTTTTCTGGAGCAAAGATGGAGAGGGTAGCAAAGATTTTGCTAAGGCTAAAAGGTTTTTCTTCTTACCATAGGAAGAAAATAAGATCCTCCCCATACCCAAAGTGATCAGGCCTTATCATCTTCTGTCTCTTTCCCTCATATATTCAGAAAGGCTAACCGGAAGGATAACTAAAATTATAAAACAATCCTCCAGTGCACAAATGCTCAAACCAAGGCTCCAGGTCACAGAGCCAGAGCACTGCAGAGCATGAGCAAGGCTGCCCAGTCTCTAGGCAGCCTCTGCCAGCAAGGTCAGAGTGGAAACCTCAGGGTTGCCAGTGAGGGGTCTGAGCCAGAAAGAGAACATGCCCCAAGCCCATCCCTTGTGGCTTCTCTAGTCATGCCCAGGTTGTAATCTGATTATCATGGAGCCTTAAGGTGGACAGTGGCTGGGCATCAGCCAGAGCAGGTAGCAGTTGCCTGCTGTGGGAGGAAATCTTTCTCCAGCTCACTCAGCCAATTCACAAAGCTGGTCCTCAGGTGATGGCCTGGGCCTCCACCTTCTGATGGGTCAGTCAGCTGGTCGGCTGGTCAGCTGATTGCAAGCCAGTCACACAGGCCAGTTGTCAGGCTGCCGGCACCTGGGCTGGCAGAGTGGTGGTGGAGGTCAGCCTCTGTGGAGCCAGTCTGTCAGCCTGAATCAGAACCCCGTTTCTTCTCTTTTTCTCCTTCCTTCTCCTTTTCTTTTGCCTTCCTCTTCCTTCCTTTTTATTCTCTGTAGCTTTCTTTTATCCTTCTCTTTTTGGGCATTCTTTCTGCCCAGCCTTCACTTTTTCTTTATATTCTTCCCTTTCTTTACATTTCCTTCTGTTCTTTCCCTTTCTTATCTTTCCTCTATGTTGTCTTTCCTTTTCTATCTTTTCTTTCTCTTCCTCCCATTTTCCCTCACTTCTGCCCCTTTCTTTTCCTTCCCTTTTCTTCTCTAGCTCCCCCTTTCTTACATTTAGTCTTCCTTCTTCCTGTTTTTATCCTTCACTTAAGAAAAAAAAAAAGAGTCCTGCCCCTTCCTTCTGCCCTCTCTCCATATTCCTTTCCTACCCATCTTCCTCCCCACACCTTCCTCTGGCTCCAGTACTTTCTCAGGTCTTTTCCTCTCCCAATCTCTTCTCTGTTGTTCTGGATTTTTCCAGTTCTTTGTGCCGTTTTCCTAGGTCTTCTCTCTGTCTTCCTTTGTTTCTGAATGGTTTCTCTGCAGTAGGCATGTGGCATCAAACTGCCCCTCAGAAGAGGGTTCTGTCCTGGGCCAGCCCAGCTCCTTCAAGACATCCTTTCTCAACTCTTCTCAGCTTGGGACTTCATCTCAAGGGCCCAGAGAGGAGGCTGTCTCCCCCTGCTTAAAATCAGTTTCGCACTACAGGGTTAGGAAAGCCTTGCCACACTTGTCACTCCATCAACCCTATGAAGAAAGAGAAACAATCCCATAGATCTGTGCCATGGAGTAAGGAACGCATTGGAGCAAAAAGAACCAGATTTATCAAAAGGAGAGAGGGCAAAGCCTGGGACCAGAGTCCTGGCAGCCTTCAGCCTTCGAAGAGAAGCCCAAGCCAGCCACCAGGTTAGCTTGGGCATTGGGAGGCCTGAGGCCCTGACATCCAAATGGCTGTAAAAGTGTGAAAAGCCCGGAGATGGGAGGAAAGAAAAGGGCTTAGACTTGCTTTGAATATCAGTGGGTTTAATGTCTGCCCCTAGGCATGTCCTTCTCAAAGGTCCAATTTGGGGGCCACCACAAACTTGCTCTAGGCAGCTCCAGCTCAGGCCCTCCTAAACCAGTCAGGCCCAGTTTGACCCTTGGCGAGCAGGTGCCAGGACAGCCATGGGAGCATTGCAGAAAATCCTCAGGAGCCAGAAAACAAAGACTGTCGGGAGGGCGGACTCATGGCTACGTGGCCTCTGCAGGCGCGGGCCAGTCGTGGCCAGAGACACCAAGCGCTTGATTCTCTCCTGGGATTCAAACAGCGGTCCAAATACACCCTTGGCCGCTGGCCTGGTTCCTCCAGCAGGGGGTGACTCTGGAGGGGCCTGACCTGGACACCCGAGGCGCAGAGGCCCCTCCCCGAGGCGTAGGCTCCAGCTGGACCGAAATGCACCTGCTCGCCCCCAGGCCGCCCACTCCCCCTTGTCCCTGGGCCCCGAGTTCAGCTGTGCCCTCTGACTCACCTTGTGCCCCCCCTCTGAAGAGCCTCGCTACCTCTTCCTCCTGTGCGTCTTGGGGAGGGGCAATATTAGCCCTGAGAGGGGGCAGGGGCCTGTCTTCCTGGGCCCCCATTTTGGCGCTGGAGAAAGTAGGAACATTGTCTTGGGAGGAGAAAGTGGGACTACACCCTTGGCTCCATTTTAGGGTAAGGAGTTTCTGAGTCAAGCTACAGGGGGAGAGATAGTTGGGAGTTATTCCCTGTGCCTTGTAACTTAAAATCAGCAAAAGGTCCCGGGACTGCAGGGTTCAAGGCGGCTGAGGCTCCGGGCCCGACCAACCCCATGGCAGCAGAGGCAGAGGGGGAGCTGCTGCTCTCTGCTAGTACTTCGTCCCTTCCGCAGACCCCCTCAGGGATCTCCAAGCGTCTCTAAGGGCTTACAGGTCTGGGACCCGCCCGGCTCTTCGTGGGTAATTAGTCCGGACTGGGAAACTAGCAAACACAGATCCTCCCGTCGGTGTGGAAAGCAAGGTCCCCTCCCCTCACACTTAAAACCTCAAAACTCCAACTCTGTTCCCTTCTCCATCTCCCTTCAAAAAACTTTTCTGAAGTTCCTGCAAGTTGCATTTGGGAAGAGTCTCCTGCCTACTCTTAGGATCCCTCTGCCCCAATTCCTCCTTTCCTTCTCAGTTTCAAAAACAACCCGCCCCCTCCTTACCAGCTGCCACCTTAGTACCCAAATTCAGAAGATGAAGTGCTGACCCCAAGCCTCTGACGGACGCCCAACCCCAGCCCAAATTCCTGCGGGGCAGGTAGATTCCTGTTTGCCCAGAGGGGAAAAGGGACTAAGAACGGGACGAAGAGACAGAGACTGGGAGAGACGGATCGTTTTCAGGGTAAATCACACCCCTCCCGGCCAAACTCACCTGCTCCCGGACTGGCTCCTCTTGATTTTCATCCACTCAAAAGTTTGTCCTTCTCACACTCGGCCCTCGGGGAGAGGAGCGGGGAGGGTGCCTTTGAGCGTGCAGACACCTGATCAAGAGCTGCTCGGGGAGAGCAGGAGATGGATCCATCGTCCCCAAAGCAGGGGCTGAGGCAGTGATCCAGAGAGAGAGCATCCAAGTGCTTGGGACAGAGGGCCAGGCTGCCAGGCCCCGGAACGGTCAGGGACGGAGCCGGTGCTAAGAGGGAGTGGCGAGCGCGGCCGGGCAAGCCGGGGAACTAGAAAGAGAGGGCCTTGGGTTCCTGGCGTTGATTCTTCCTTCCTCCAGTTCCTGCGCTCCTGGGTGTGCCTCGGCCCACAGCATTTCCTCAACCCCGTTGGCGGCGCTCAGGACCCTCACTTAGCGAAAAGAAAGAGTGAGGGTCGCCCCTTAGCCCCTCCCAGCCCCTGTCGCCCCAGCTCCCCCTTTCCCTCCCCAGAGCCAAGGGACAGACAGAGAATTGCAACTAGAAATCCGATCGATCGGTGCGAAGGACCACGTGCTCAGGGGCTGGCCAATGACCAGGCCGCCCGGGATGAGCTAATAATGGAAGCAATTTGTAACTTTCAGTAGCTCTCTAGGCCTGGGTACGGCGGGAGAGAGGCGGGAGGAGGTGGGGAGATGGGCACCCCCATCCTACCCTCATTTGTCAAGGGGCGCTCGGATCCCCTGGTGTTTCTTTCCCCTAACAAGCAGGCACTAGCAGGGTCCTTCGCCCACTCCGACTGGCCGCCACCGCCCCAGAGCAAGGTAAGCTGCTCCCTGCTCCTCAAGCCCCACTCGCCTGTTTCTGACACCTGCAAAGGATGCCCTCTTTCTTGCCACATTAGACAGCTGAAATGCAGATTTGTTTTTCTCTTAGTTGGAATAAAAAGAACCCACTTGTGTTCTTTTGCAGAATCCAACTTGAATTGGTTGAAAATGAAATTCAGCTGTACCTTTGGAGAGACTATTAATGATTAGAAAACTTGTCCTTTGTTAATTTGTTTTGTTGCTATAATGAAATACCAGGATCTGGGTACTTAAAAAAAAAAAAAGAAAATGAAATTCAGATTAATACACTTTTTTGTGCAAGGGTGAGTGGTACTTTTTATCTTTCATAATCTTATAATCCCTTCTCTTGGGGAAAAGCTTCCTACTTGTGGAAAGTTTACTTTCTTTAGGGATGAATTAGACCTTATGTTTTTGCAAGTTTTAATGCTTTTAATGATGTCAAATTCACCTCTTTTCTCTATCCCATTTCCAGTGTAGGTATTTACAAATAATCACTTCCCGAATTGTAAGTTTATTCATTTTTTTCTTTTCCCTAGCTAATTTTTTAGTGGTTACAGAATTTTTGCAGTTTTTTTTCCCATGTGTAGACTGGCATTTAGTTTTGTTTTGTAAATGAATGTATTGTTTGGGAAACTCAGTAGGGGTGTGAACAAGCTGTCTTTTGATTAGTTCCAGCCCCCTTTATCCATGAAGAAAATTTTGCTTGAAATGTTTTATACACTTCCTTATTTTTATTATGTCTCAATTTTGATGTATTTTACCTCCTTTTTAAAACCTGACTTCTAGTTAATCTTTTTGTATGTTAAACCATTTCTAAAGTTATTTTATAAACATCACCATTTCGTACATCTCCTTCCCTTTCCCCAGCACCTTTTCCCCTCCAGCCTACTCTATTTCAGAACCCCTACCCCCACTTTCTGTAATTCTCAGCTTCTCCTCTCCTTTCAGCCCAGGGGATGGGGGCAACTGGGAACAAGCACATATCCTCAGCAGGGCGGTGGGACAGAGGCTTTGCTCAGTTGAGTTCTGGATTCTTCCAGTCCTACCTCTCTAGGAACAAAACCAGTGAGAACAGCATTGCTTTCAACTTTTTAGTTCAGAACTTAAGTTCTTTCCGCTTGGTCTTATTCTGGGCAACTCTCTGCTATACAAAGTTGAATTTTTAATTCTTGCTTTTCCCCTATATTCTAAGAAAAATGAGAGCAAATTTTATTTCTCCCTTCATTATAAGCTGCTGCTGGTGTATGTGTGGGGAATCAGCCTTTTGGGTCTTTTACTTCCTCGGGGAAGATTCCCAGAAGGAACAAATGATGTTCCCTCCTGGAAGTGACAGGGGTCCAGGCCCCCTTTTTGCTTCTGGCTCTGGCTTTAAACAAAGAGTAGAGAGCTGGCTAGGGGACTCTTATTTCTGGCCAGTGAGGATTGACTTAGTGAAGTTTGGGGCTAAATCCTCAGTCTGAGGGAATTCCCTTTTTAGCATTACTATGAAGGTAAACTATTAAAATTGTGTGACATATTTTCAACCTATTAAGATCCTTTGCAGCTGTAAAATAAAATTACAAGAGTAAGTCATGATTCCTGGAAGTAGATCTGCCTCTGGTAACTTTGTTCTTCTCAGGGAAACAGAACCCAAGTGGGCAGAAGTATAACTTCGGCTCCTCCCCTCCCTGTCCTCCAGCCCCCCATTGTCACATTGACATTCTGGGCACATTTGGCCCATCCCCCCATCCCCCCATCCCCGCTTCTCCCAAGTATGAATCTAAATTACTATTAATAAGGGGCCGCTCCAAGTTAATTGGCATTAAAAGAATTCATTTCAATTTGTTAATATTAAATGAACACTGCACTTTAGCTCCCTTCTTCGCCCTGGACTCCCAGATGAGTGATGGGGAGAAGGGTGGGGGAGCGGAGAAGGATTGTATCTCTGGCTTTCCAGCTTCACCACCTCGGGGCCTCCCTCCACCCTTGAGGGGCAGAGATCAAGCGCAGTGGGGGCCTGACTGGGAAAAATCTGAGGGCCTTAGTCTGTGGAAATTCATCTGAATTTCACAAGCTGTGGAAGAGGGTCAGGAAAGTTTGGGGGTGGAGGGAGGGAGGGGACTAGGAAAAGGGACAAGGATGAACAATAGTTTTGGGGAACAAGGGTTGTGGGCCCTGGGGTAAAACAGATTTGTGAAGGGAGGCACCGCTAGTTCAAAGCCCACCTCGAGAAGCAGGAGCTGGGGGCAAACAACTAGGAGTTCTGAAACTATGTAGCCTGTGACATTAGGCAAATTGCTTAACTTTTCTCTCTGCCTTAGTTTCTTGGCCTGTAAAACAAAGGGTAGTAGTAACAGACTTCTTCTCAGGGGCTCCTTTGGGATTAGATGAAATACATGTAATGTGTTTCCCACAGAGTTTGGTACATGGATATTGCTAGTAAATGTGAATTCATTCACATGGGTTCTGTGACTGTGATCTGCTCACCTTGTCATCCTTCCTGGGTCTAGTCCTGCACTAGGGCTGCATTCCATGCCTGTAACCCCTGGGGCTGGGATGCCCCAATTCTTTCCTGGCCTCTGCTCTAGCTCTTGCTTTGATGGTAACACCCTCTGAGTGGCCATAGATTTCCAGGGGAAAGTCCCTTCTCTCTCCCTTGCCTGGCGATGGGGGTGAAGGGTTGGGGGTTGGGGGTTGGGGAGTGGTGATAAGGGACTTACTCTCTTGGTCTAGTAGCTTCCTGTGGGGCAGAGTGTGGGGTGGGGGAGGCTGACATGTACTAAATGCCATGTGATGTACTAAATACCATCTGCTTGTGGTCTAGCCCTACCTACCCACCCGAGGATGGGAGGAACAGATCCAGAGGAGTGACCTGACCATGCCATAAAACTAGAAGGTAGCAACGCTGGAGTAAGAGCTCTGATCTTTTTTTAAAAAATTATACAGGAAAAAGAACACACAAATTTATTACATACTTAAGGCATAGGACTATTTGACTCATGATAACAAATCTTCATCTTTTCTATGCTGCACACTTTTTAAAGTATGAGTTGAGACTTTCTGAAGGGAGAGGTGGGTGGGGCACATATAAACCTAGGGCAAGGACCAGGCCAGGATCATAGGGCAGCTGCAAGCTGGAGAAGGGAAAAAGAAGTTGGGAATTTTTCAGTCGGGGAAGACTTCCTGGAGGAAGAGATTATGGGTCAGGATCAGATAGGAAAGGAATGAAGATAGCAAGTAAAGAAGCAGGAGGGAGCTAGGTGAACTGGCCTGTACCTAAAATCCCAGCTACTCGGGAGGCTAAGGCAGGAAGATTCTACATGTTCAAGGCCAGCCTGGGCAACTTAGAGACCTTATTTCAAAAGCAAAAACAAAAAAGGCTGGATATGTAGCTCAGTGATAGAGGACTTGCCTAGCATGCACAAGGCCCTGGGTTTAATCCCTGATACTGTAAAATAATAATGATGATGATGATGCTAGAAATGGGAGGGAGCCAAAAAAAGGGGAGAAAGACAGGACCCATACGAAGGCTAGGTGAGAGCAAAGGGTATAAATCAGATTTGCCTTGCTGGCACCAAGTAAAATTAGGTAGCATTTATTCAGGATGTACTATGTGGGGCTGGGGATTTAGCTCAGTGGTTCTGCCATCTGCCTCACAAGTGCAAGGTCCCGAGTTCGATCCCTGGTACCAAAAAAACACACAAAAAACCCCAGGATGTACTATGTGTCAGGTACATACATTATCCCATTTAATGTTCACAACAGTTCTGAAAAATAGGTTTATTTATTTATTTGATACCAGGGATCGAACTCAGGACCTTGCGCTTGTGAGGCAGGCACAGTGCCGCTGAGCTAAATCCCTGGCTCACAAATAGGTTTCTCAATCCTATTTCTAAAGACTCAGTTGAAGTTCAGAATCTTTAATGCTCACTTTGAAGTTCACAATGTTTAATATCTACATAGGTAGTTTTTTCTTTTTTCTGTTTTCTTAGACAGGGTCTTGTAGTTCTGGCTAGCCTTGAACTCACTATGTAGCCCAGGTTGGCCTCGAGCTCATGGCAATCTTCCTGATTCAGCCTCCCAAATGCTGGGATTACAGGTGTGCACTACCACACCCGGCAAGGTCATATAGTTGGTAGCTTGGTTTTCCTGGCCCCAGAACCCGTGCCTGGGCTGCCTGCTGAGTGTGGCCTCCGTGGCTTGGTCTCTCCTTCCATTTCTGGTACTTCCACATTTGTAGTCACACCAGTGGTGGGAAAAAAGGGGTCAGGAAGTAGGGTGAGACCAAGAGAGGGAGCGGCAGGCAAGCAGTGAGGACATAAACTTTCCTTACAGCCATGTAAGGAAGGATAGGAGGACATTCTTTTTGGAGGGAGGCTTCTAAATCATTTTCTTGGGATGAATGGCCGAGACCAGACTGAGGTCACACCAGGTAGTGGCCTTTAGTTCTCTTTCTCTGGAAAGAAGAGGGCTCAGGTGTGGGTTTGAGCCCTAGATTAAGATGGCCAGTTGTCCACTAAAATCCTTCCTCTCGCTGTTATAGGAGGGCAGAGAGTGACCCAGCTGAACACCTACTCCCCAGTCATCCCTTGCTACCAGGTGTGGGCAGCAGGGAGTGAGAACCTGAGGACAGTGGTAAATTCTTTGTATTGTCTTTATCCTGTGCTGGACAGATGAGCCTGAGGCTGAGTTTGACCAGGCGCTTAAGGAGAAATCAAAGTGACAACATGAAAGGAACCTAAGTTCCCAGTTGATTATGTAGAGCAGAGGTGATGATACCCAAGATTTCTTCCTTCCAGAATGCTCTGTGAGAAATAAACTATTTTCTATATGCTAGTGTGTTTGGTGGCCTTTCTGTTATAACAATGTTACCATTACCTTTCCTAACACATCTTACACCAAATCTGTCAATTCACATTCATCAAAAGGATTCCATCAGATCAGGAAATTACTATATTAATAAAATTTACTGAGCTAGATACCATGCTAAGGTCTCTAAGTACACTATTTAATATCATCCCATGACAATACTCTAAGATATGTTACTGTTATTCCAATTTACAAATGAGGAAACTGAGGCCAAAACTAGCTAAATAAGGTGCCAATGGACACATGATGACAGAGTGGGGTTATACTCATCACCAAGGGCCAAATCTCCCAAGGACACAGCCGGAGGGGACTTTGGAGATCTTCCCATGCTAGGCCAGCTCTTGTAACCATTCCCACCCTCATGAAGCTTGGCAGGCCACCATGGTCTGTTTTGGGTCACTACATAAAGTTTTATTTAAAGCAAGGCCTGGCAGATAAAACTGGTTTGAAAAAGTCTGTTAAATGCCCTCTCCGGCCCCCCCAACCGCCCCGTCTCTCTCTCCTCTTCTTTCACAGACAAGGTCCAGAGAGGAAATATGACTTGGTTAAGGTCATGCACTTTAGTTGTTCTGACAAGTTTTCTGAATCTGAGATGAGTTCTTTTCCCACCACATCAACAAACAGGGAGGCACAAAAATAACCACATCTGGTCAGAAGAATCTGTCTCCTCCAGGAGAGCTTGGGCCAGTCAAACCACATTTCGACTCCCCTCCTGTAGGATATCTGCCCCTGGGGAACTGTTTTCCCTGAGCCTGGAGAAGGGGTCACTCTTTCCTCACTCTCATTACAAGATGGTCAATATGCGGGGGGAAGGGAGAGCTGGGGCCAGAGCCAAAGAGGGAGAGATCTCCTGGATTCCCTCTGTCTTTCCACATTTATATTTGCAATCTGAGGCTCCTCCTCCCCCTAGGCCCTTCCTAGTAGCCCACCAGGGAGGAGCACGGGAAAAACTGTCATAAATTTCCCCTATTTATACAAGAAGACAGCATGTTTCTTGTGCCAGAAAACACACAGAGAGGGAGCTGTCAGAGGAGACGGGACCCAGCCCCATACCTTCTGGGGTCAATTTATCTTCCTGCATCATGGCTTGGGGGCTACCATAACATTGCCTGTATGGGATTCAGACTCTGAGTTGGGGGGCAGCCAGGACAGACAGTGCCTGGGCTTTGTTTCTGGTCATGGCCTTCCTGCTTCTTCTCAACTGCCCTTCCCCCTTTTGAAACAACTTTCTTTGGATATAATTCACATATCATACAATTCATTTGAAATGTACAATTCAATAGTTTTAGTGTACTGACAGATATGTGTAACCCTCAAGATAGTCAATTTTAGAACATTTTTATTACCTCAAAAAGAAACCTTGTAGCCTTTAGCTCTCGTCTGCTTATCCTTCATATTCCATCCAGCCTAAGCAGTCTCCAAGGTATTTTCTGTATAGTTTTCCTACTGTGGACTTTCAGGAGAATGAATCATACAATGAGGGGCTTTCTGGGACAGCTTCTGTTACTTAACTTAGCATCATGTTTTCAAGGGTCCTCCACATGGAAGCATGTATCAGTACATCATTCCTTTTCATAGCTGAATCACATCTATGGTATGGATGCATCACATTTTATTTATCTGTTCATCAGCTGGTAGACATTGAGTTGTTTCCACCTTTTTGACGTGACTTCCTCTTTTCTCACATGTCTCTAGTCAGCCCGGATCATATAGAATGAAGTCCGTGGTCAAGAACAGGTGTGTCTTGCCAGGTGTGGTGGAACAGACCTGTAATCCCAGCATTCAAGAGGCTAAAGTAGGAGGATTATCATGAATTTGAGGCCAGCCTGGGCTATATAGTGAGTTCAAGGCCATCCTGAACTATGTAGCAAGACCCTGTCTCAAACAAAACAAAAACAAAACAAAACAAAACAAGAGCTGGGCCTGGTAGCCCATGCCTGTAATCCCAGCACTCAGGAGGCTAAGGCAGGACGATTGCTACAAGTTCCAGGCCAGCCTGGGCTAAATAGTGAGTTCAAGGCTGGCCTGAACTACATAGTAAGACTGGGGACTAGTTCCCTGGGTCTGGTTTCAAGTGGCCCTGCAGTGTCTCACAGTTGAAAGAAGGTCTGCAAAGGCTCCCAGATCGAGGGAAAGTTAGGTTCTTGGAGGTGTAACTGACCAGAATCCAGGCAGCCTGCCCCCACCTCCCTGCCTAGACCCTCCCTGTCTTCAGCACACCTTGAGCTGTGTCCCTTTTCTCACCTGGCAACAGACAATGTCCCTGGCCTCCTGACCCTTGAGTCCTGGTGGTGAGAGCAAGACAAACACAAGTGAATGAAATAACAGCTAGCCACGTAAGCTTGGTAAACATCTATTGAATGAATGAACAAGTGAATGTATCAGTACTTACTTTGTAGTCTGGAAATAAAATGTGAAAAAAAATCATAGTTACAAATCACTTTCCATTACCACACCTTTTCTAGTCTGGAAGTTAGCATTAATTTTCGATCCCTGGAAGGGGTGGGCATGTAGAAAATGCAAAATGTCAGCAAATACTAGCTGCTATTCATTGGATTAGCCCTATACCAACCATTCATTGGATCAGCTATATACCAATGAGTTTATACATCACATAGCTTTTCACCTTTTGAATTAGGCATAATTATTCCTATTTTGAATAGGAGAAAAGTTGAGACTCGGAGAAGTTGAATAACTAGCTGGTCACCCTCTCACTCTGTCTTGCCCACCCAGAGTGGGCTGTGGAGGTGCCAGGCTCCTCTCTCACAGCTTGCTGCCAGGAGGCTCACCTGACTTCTGGTCATGGACCGAAGGACCAGTTTTGCTTTCAAAGACTTCTTCTTGGAGCCCTTGGCTGAGCTGCCCCATTGTATGTGGGAGGAATCGTGAGAGGTCTGGCTCTTGTCAACAAAAGACTTGAACAAGCCAAGGCTGATGATGCTGACAAGGAGACCTCAACCAGGCAGATAATCAGAAGTTGATGACTGAAGGCCCTTTAGCAGCTCTCCACCCCCTGCTAAATCCAGCTTCCTATGCAATCTTGATGACAAATAACAAACTTCTAATCTGCTATTAATTTCTTCACCTATTATTTCCTTCTCATAGCAAACAAGTGGTACTTGAGGCTGAGCTTATTACAGAAAGAAGATTGTGGGGCTATAACCCAAGGGTCCAGCTTAATTTTACATAATGAAATTTATGTAAGACTTCCTATGCGCCATACATGCAGCTAAATATTCAGCACTATTAACTTTTCTTTGCCACCACCATATGAAGTAGGTTTTAGTATTATCCACACTTTTTTAAAATAAGGAAAGTGAGGCATAGTACTCAAGTTTCTTGTCTGAGGTCATAGAGCCAGCCAGTAGTGGAGCAGGGCTTAAGGAGCCACATGGCCCCAGAGTGTGTGTAACTACTTCACCAGGTGGGCCTGGCATGGCAGCTCCCCTTGGGAGGACTAGTCTATCTGTGTGGGTGCCCTCCTCTTCCCCCACCTCCCTCACTCTCTATGGCCCATTGGAAAAAGCAAGTCGGAGCTGTGGCTCCCAGGGTGACGATCCTTCAGCTGCCTCCTTGGCACTGTCATCCTCTCCTTCCATTTCTTGCCAAGGGCTCCAGCCGGGAATGCCACAGACGTTCGCCATGGATCAAGGTTTCCCCAGAGAAAGAGCTCTCCGGAAGGCTGCTGTAAGAAATGAAGTAACTTGCTGTCTCCTGTTCCCCTGTTGAGAGGAGCCAAATGAAGTCACTGCATTTGAACAGTGCCATCGGAGTGCAGCCTCTGGCCAGTTTGGAGACAAATGTGGGCGGATGTGGCCAGTGACTGAATGGCTGCAAGGGAAATCTGAGGTGGCAGGTGACTGAAATGAAACTTCAGTGAGAGTGCTGTCTGTCATTCATCCCGCAGTGCTCCCTGACTCGGGCCCAGGGCTGTGCGCATGAGCTGCAAATGGCTTGTTCAGTCATTTCTCCATCTATTTACTTACGTATTCCATAAATTCTGATTATGCCCCTAAGAGGCATGAGGCTAGGTGTTGAGGATGAAAAAGACAAAATCCCTGCCCCACAGGGACTCCCGTTCTAGAGAGGGGAGGCAGAGGGAAGCTTCACAATGATTTGTATCACATACCAAGGAGGGAGAGTCATTGACTATTGCTGCTGCTTGACATCCCAGCCACCAGCATTGTTCTTTTCTTTTTCTCTCCAAGCTGGGACTGAGCAGCCCCAGGCCCTGGTGTACTCAAACATAGCCGTGGCCTCTCCTCTTAAGCTGCTTTCTGCCTGGATCCCACCTCCCCCTGAGCTGGGACATTTGTGGCAAAGGAGTCTTCAGTCTCCTGCCCCTGTCAGTCACCAGTTCACTGCAGGCAGCAGCAAAGGTGATGATAAAGCAGCAGAATAAGGCTCTGGTGTCAAAGCAGGAATCATGGGGTGGGATGGATAGGGTTATTCCACCCCCGCCCCCCGCCCTGTGTTCTTTGCGTTACTCTGTGTCCTGGGAGGTTGACGCACCATGACTGTCACCTGGGCTCTCTGGCGTCTTGCTTCTTGTGGGTTTGGCCAACAGAGGTCCTGGCAGGGAAGGGAGAGAGGAGAGTCAGGGTGTTTGTTTCTCCATTCCCTGTCGCCTCCTTGCCTGCCTGAAGTTCTCAGGGATTGCAGCTTTGCCCCTCTCCCATGGCCCCAGGTCACTCCAGGCTTAGGAACACTATATCCATCTCTCTGGGCCTTCCTGTTACTGCTTGGCTCTTGCTGGTTTCCTTAACTCTGTCTACATCTTTAAAGATCATCATATCATTCAAGCCTTCAGTGAAGCCCTTCTGAATGTGTCCTTTCTTTCCTGTTGGAACCCTGACTGGCTTGCTTGGGGGCACAGTGGGCACAGGGTAGTTTGCAGCTTTATTACCCACTTTTCCAGGTTTCCCCAGAGGCAGGTCAAGGACTGGACTAATGCATGTTCCCAGCATGAAGGGATCCACCTGTTCTCTTGAAAGCAGAGTCAAGAGATGCATTAGGGAGCCTTGTGATTAAACCACAAGGAAGGAAACACAGCTGCTCAGGACCTGCCCGGAAAGGTCACTCTGATAAGCTGTCCCAGTCCCTCCTTGGAATTGCCACTGAAACTTTCCCACTCCCCAGTCCCTTCAAGTACCTTATCTTCATTTTACAGGTGAAAAGATTCCGACCCAGAGGTAAAGATTCTGAGGAGCTGGACAGGAGCTTCACTCTGTCTCAGGTGCTCTGGCAAAGAGAAGCCCCACTTTGTGATCACGGACTGGGAAGGGCGACAGACAAATCTTGGCTCAAGTGTCATCCTTGGCCTAGTGCTGGAACCTGGAGCCAGACTGCTGAGGTTAGAATCCTGCATCCTCTTCTTAGTGGTTGTGTGGTCTTGGGTGTGTTATTTCACCTCCCGGTGCCTCAGTTCCCCCACCTATAAAATGGGGCTGGTGATAACACCTACCTCATAGGAGAGTGGTGAATGTTGAGTGATTTCATAGCTCTGAGGTGCTCAGGAACTGTGCTGGTGCCTAGCACTGGTGAGTGTTAAAAAATGGAGCCTCCTGAGCCTTCTCATTTACTGCCCTGCCTTCTCCTTTTTGCCCACCTCCTCTGCCTTCTTCCCAAGGTAATGAAAACATTTGAACAACCGTGGGGAGCTCTCACTCCTTGTGAGCATGCTTGTCCCTCCCTGCCTATAGGCCTTACCAGTTTGGACAGAGAACAAGGACAGAGACACCTGGTTGAGCCCCCTGCAGCCTCTGCAGCCAATGGGATCCCCTTGATGGCGGTGGTGCATGCAAAACAGCCTCTTCCTTCTCCCCTCAGCTTCCCGGAGCTGCAGGGGGCTCAGGAGCTCTTGGTAACAGCACATTAAGCCCCTGTTTGTGGGAACTTTAATTGAAACACAAATTAGAGATGGCAAATGACTCTGGCAGCCAGATAAGCCATCCCGGGGGAGTAAGAAATAACCCAAGAGAATCAGCAGAGATAAGGCTTGAATTTAAACTACTGTAAATACTCAGAAGTCTGGGACAGGTGAAAGTTGGGGGGGGGTCCAAAGTGAGGAACCCCAGAGGCCCCACACCCCACCTGCTTTGCTCTGGGCTCCATACCAGCATACTTCTGCATTCTCTGCATTTCCTTTTTGCTGAATTCCAACCTGATTCCTGAGTCGGTCCCTCCCTCCCCGATTTCTGCTGTTTTGGAAAGCTCAATCCTTGATTTACTTTCTTTCCAGTAACCTCCATTTACCCTATTACAGTTAGAGTGTAATACATCCTGCTTGGTGGTGGCTCAGGGATTTCTGTTCAGGAGGTAAATTTGTGAGAGGAAATAGCCTGACTGCTCAAAGACCTGGGTTAACTTCTCGGTTTCCTCATCTGTATAATGAGTGTATGAGAAAGGGTCTCTGAGAACCTGTGAGGTCTGGGGTTTCATTGGAAAATCCGAGCACAAGGCCACCCGGGAAGTCTCTCTTGATCTCTATAGCAGAATTTTCCACTGTTTGATGGCTTGGGAGTGGGTGGGGGAAAGCAGTCCAGGCCCCTGTTCCTCTGTGGGAGGTGTCTTGGGGCTTTGCTTCCAGGACTCAGCTTAGAGGGAGGCTGCCTTTCCAGTTCTGTCAAGAACTGCTGAGCCCAGCTCTGTGGGGCAATGGCTGCTGAAATGTCATTATCCTCTGGGTGGGAATGACATATGTTCCCTCTGTCACAACACCTGCGAGGGCAGCTAAGGGATGGCAACTCCCAAGAAGGCAGAGTTCTACCCTTGCCAGCTGACCTTGAGAATCTTTTTGTCCTGCTTCTCTGAGAGGCTTAGAGTGAAGGAGAGGATTATGTCACCAGAGCCCCAGTCTCTAGCCACAGGGGGAGCTAGCTGCTGTCCTTCACAGAGCACGAACAGCAAGAGGGAAGAAGGTCAGACCATAGCCAGAATTTCCAGGTTGGAGACTCGGGAAGACTGGACTCCAAGAGGTCATCCATGGGCTCAGAGGGTATATGTGAGGAACACCTGAGTCACCATCAAAGGATGGGGCAATGACCTCAAAAGGCCATGCTAGCCTGTGACTCAAGTCTGAAGGTCTCTGAGACTGGAAAAGGACTTTGACATTTCCTGTGGCCCCGGGATTTTAGAGGTGGGCAGCTGCCTCAGGGGGTCCAGGGCCTAGCTGTGTCCCCACCTTGCCCACCTCCCCCATCTTGAGAGCGTGGCTGCCCCTAGAGCCCCAGGCCTGCTTGCCATCTGGGCAGCTCAGAGGAGAGCCTGCTGCCAAGGGAATGCCAGCATTGATTTATGGCCCACAGCCTTGGCAAGCTCGGGCTCTGTGCCCGGAACCTCCTTCACTCAGGGAAGAGGTGCTTCTCTTAAAGGGGCAGTGCAGAGGAGCGCAGGAAGGTCCAGGAGGAAGGTGGAGGACTCTGGGGGCTGGGCAGGAAGAGCCCTGCCCGCCAGGACTCTGGGTGACTATCATTCCCTAAGGAAGCTTCTTTATCATCATTAAATTGGATGCCTATATCTGGGTGGTGGGGACACCTCTGAAGTGAGAAAGGCTGGGGATCTCTTATTCCTGACCTCCGGCAAGCCACTTATCTGACGTGAGTCTCCTAAAATCACCCTGATGAGCCCAGTCACTTGCTAATGGTCATCACAGGCTTCTCCTTTGTAGATTTAGCCCAGCTGTACCAGATTAGTTTAATGTCAGTTTCTTCCAAGAGACTGTAAACTCCACAAGGGCGGGATGAGACCCATTGTGTTCATCCCTGTGTATTCAGCACCCGGTGGAGTGCTTGGCTCATAATAAAGGATCAGTAAGAAGTTGCCACCTATAGGAAAGAATAAATCAATGAAGGTCCTGTCCCACAGGTCAGGGAGTAAACCGTGTGCCTTCCCAATGCCTGCCATGGTTTGCAAGCCTCTGCACACCCACTCCCACCTCCAGAACCCCTTTCCCACCCTTCCATGGGCCAATGGGTGATCTATTACCAGAAACACTTGCCTCCTCCTTCCCTCAGATCACCTCTCTCCAGCCCTCCACACAATGTTCTTTCCTTCCTCCAAGAAGCTTTCTCAGATTATCTATGGCCTCAGTCCCTGACTGACACTTCCTGCACCATTTGTCAGCACGGTAAGGCTTCATTCATTCACTCAGCAATATTTATTGAGTATCAACGATGTCTGGGTGCTGGGTGCTGAGAATGAATGAATAAACTGGCCAAGCACGATCCCTGAACTCATGGACTCTGTATGCCATAGGACGAGACAGATTAAAAAAAAAAAAGTGTACAAACAAGCAAATACTTAAGATGAAATCTTGATACCTGTTATAAAGAGTGCTAAGGTGATCACAGAAAGGGTGGAGAGGGGACCCATAAATTGGATGGCCAGAGAAACCTCTGAGGTAGTAATGTTTGGGCTAAGATTGTAAGGCTGAGAGGGAGCCACATGAAGGGTGGGGTAGCAGGATTCTAAAAGTGGATCAGTCACCTGAGTGTGCAGAGCAGAATTTGGGGGAGTGGGAAGGTGAGAGGAGGAGCTTTCCATGCTCTATACTTCATCTCTTCCACATTCTGAAAACTTCTCCCCCTCTAGCTCATTGTCTAAAATCCTTGGAGAAGGAGCACTGGTCTCACCCTGGAGCTGGTTGGAAATCAGAATCCCAGATGCCACACCAGATCTCTGGCAAGCACTGCTCTATAGCACCTCAAGGGTGGGACAGAGAGTGAGGGGATCAGGGGATTTAAGGTGGGCACCACTGAGGGTTGCTGAAGAGGTTGGATTTGAACCAGAGATGGGGTCTGAGAGTGTGCACGTATGTGTGTACACGTCTGCAGTCCTAGACCATGGGCTAGTTGAGGCTGCACCTTCCCTCCCATGGGTATGGATTACTGGGGCTCCATCTTTACCTTGCTGTGATATCACCCCACGTCCACCTACAGCTGTGAGTCAAATGGAATCTGTTCATATCTGGGTGGTGGGAACACCTCTGATGCGAGGCAAGCCAGGAGATCCCTTATGCCTGACCTCTGGCCATCCATTTATCTGACCTGAGTCTCATAAAGTCGTCCTGATGAGCCCAATCGCTTGCTAATGGTTATGAGCTGAGACCTGGGAATTTATGGCCGAGGCCTTGGTGGCCATGAACAGGAGTAGCACTACATGTCACAGGACGAGATAGACTGCAGGGCTGGGAGATTTGGCTCTGCATGGCTTCAGTTCATGGAGGTCTGTGTCGAGGACCACAGCTGGGACTGCCCCCCAACACACACACACACACACACACACACACACACACACACACACGGCAAAGAGCACTGTTCTGGGTGGGAGGAGGACAGCTGAGGAGGAAAATGACCTCTAAAGCAGATGTCCCATGGAGGAAAGCTGAGTGTCTGGGAAACTGACCCCACCTTGCTGAGTTGGGGGCCTGGGAGACGGTTGAGGAAGGTGTGAAGAGGGCCTTGGAACTGGAAGCAGCTAGACCGGAATTCAAACCCTGGGTCTAGCGTGTGACACCGGACAAATTGCCGAACGCTGTGCCGTACTTTCCTGATCTGCAGATGGGGAGGTGTAGTACTATCTCATAAGTGTGTGAGGCTTAAATGAGATGTCTGTAGGGCTCACTTAGAATACCAATTGTGTGTATTCAAATGGATTAAGAGATTGGGATTTTAATTCCAACTCTGCCATGAACTTGCTAGGATTCTAACACTGGTTCTGTCACCAATGGTTCTGTGACTTGGGCTCATTGCAGAGCCTTTCTAGACTACAACTGCCCCATAGACACTAAGAGGGGCTGGACCCAGGGTTCTTTTGGCTCCATCCAGCTCTGACGTTTTGTGGTTCTACCAGGAGTTCTTGGTTGGAAATGGAGAGGTGGAAGGGTCTGGCTCTCACCTTGGCCACACAGAATTCATCATTTCAATTGTGGCCTCAGGGCTCAGTCAGAACAGCCCCTTCCTCATTGGGAATGCATCTCTGGAAGGTATCAGGCACAGCGTTCTGGAAGTCTGGGCATGAGAGTGATCAGGAAAGGCCCAGTGGATGGGACAGAGGGCAGTAGGGCATTGACTGGGATGCCTTTTGCATGGCTATGTCTTCAAATAACTTCATACACATACAGACTGAGAGAGACAGAAACAGAGACAGACAGATAGACAGAGTCCAGTCCCTGATTGGGAGACTGAGCCAAATCAAGTGTGGAAACACCTTCAAAGGACCCAGGCAGAGACCTAAGGATTCCTAAACCACAGTGCAGAACAGGACACCCCCCCGCCCCGCCTTGGTACACTCTGAGCAAAGCCAGTCATTATGGGAGACAGACATGAGCCCACCAATGTCACAGGTCCTTCCTCCCTTCTATGCTCTGCCAACCAGCCCATATGGGCTTGCAGCCTGATGTTGAAACCCTGGAGACCCCAAGGGACCCAGACAGTAGCCAACTTGATGACGTTTACTGAATACATGTTCTGTGCTTGGCACTGGGCCAGGAGGAAGGGCTAAGGGGGAAATTAGACTTGATCCCTGGCCTCAAGATATCATAGTCTGATAGGAGGACAAACTTTAAATAGACAACAACAAAACAATGTGCTAAGGGACAGCAACATAGCCAGTATTGATATGACACGTAGCTGGTATTGTTAGGAGACGAAGGTGTAAAGGAATATGAGACAGCTACTACCTAAACATTTTTGTTGTGGAAGACTGAAAATGTACAAAACAGGACAGAAAAGAACAGCAAACCCATGAGGCCTCACCATACAGCTCTGGCAAGGGCCACCACTGCTCAGACTTGGTGTCTATACCATCATCCCTGTCCACGGTGCTGGGTTCGTTTGCGGGGGTGGGTGGGGGCAGCGATTCTGCAAATGGACCAACACGGATCCAGGGGAGTGCTGGGGCCACAGGCGCTAAACAGAGCCACCGCCTGAGTGGACCCAGGCGCCCCCTTTACCCAGGGGGTCGTGGCACTCTGCAGCTTGGGATCTCCAGCCTGGTTCCCGCAAAACCGAGAGGCCTAGCGGGCCCTTGGAGCGCGGTGGCCTTGGCGCCCGAGCGTGAGAGATTGGCACAGGCGGGCATCGCCAGGCACCGCGGGCACCGTCGGGCCCTCCGCCCCGCGTCGGCGCGCGGCCTTAAATATTACCCCGGAGTTTTCAATTATCTCTTCTTAATGGATTTGCAGGGGCTCTTTTATCAAGCGCGGGGTGGCTGGGTGTGGGGGTGTGGGGAGCGTGCGGCGAGGGCTGGAGCTGGGAAAATGGCCCATATTTCAATATTAAAGCCCTTTACGATCGTCAGCAGCATGAAAGATGCAGCAAATAAAACGGAGCCGCCCGCGCCAGCCTCTCCATCTCGCAGGTTTTAATTAACGCTGAGGGGGAGGCGGCTGCCGGGCTGGTCAGAGCCGGCCAGGGGCTCAGATCGGAGCCTCTCGGACCCGACCCCAGCCTGCCCGGCGGAGGGGAGCGAGGTGGGCCGAGGCCCAGGGAGCCAGGGGAGACGGTGGGACGATGTCAGCAGAGCTGGGAAGGCGAAGGGGTGTGGGGAGTCGCCTGCAGGTTGCAGAGCATCTGACCGAAAGCAGGCGCGGCATCTCTGAAGGCAAATGGCTGCTGTTGTTCAAGGCTTTGTCCACGCGCTCCAGCTCCTCAGCCCAGCCTTCCTCCTGCTGTCTGCCTCTTTCCGGCCAACAGCTCCCCAAACAATCCGGGGGGTCCTCCACGCCCCCCCCCCCGCCAGCTTCCGGCACTGACACCCGTGGCCCGAGTTTCGGGCGGCAGACGCGCTTCCTGTGAGCCAGAGGCCCGGTCCCGCCCCACAAGGCTCCTGTTCCGGGAGGTCTGCTTTCCCCATCACCGGCGGCTTCCCGGCCAGCCCGTTCTCCGGGCGAAGGAGCGCACAGAAGCGC